TAGGGTTTAGGGTTTAAGGGTCTTTACCGGTTCCTTTAAGGCTTTGGGGGTTCCTTTAAGGTTTAGGGTTTAGGGTTTCAGGGTTTAAGGGTTTAAGGGTTTAAGGGTTTAAGGGTTTAAGGGTTTAAGGGTTTAGGATTTAAGGGTTTAGGGTCTTTAAGGGTTCCTTTAAGAGTTCCTTTACGCGTTCCTTGAAGGGTTCCTTTAAGGGTTCTCCTCTAAGGGTGGTTCTCCTTTAAGGGCTCCTTAAAGGTTTTAATCTTTCCTTTAAGGTTTCTCCTTTAAGGGTTCTGTTAAGGGACCGAAAGGTGAGTTTAGGGTTTCGGGTGGGTCTAGAAGGGAACGCTACACTCAAGGCTTCCTTCCTTCAAGGCTTCAAGGGTTCGGTTTATTGTTTAGGGCTTAGGGCTTAGGGCTTAGGGCTTAGGGTTTAGGGTTTAGGGTTTTCCTGTACGGGCTGCTTTCAAGGTGTTTCTTGCAGGATTCCCGTAGGGGTCCTGTCAGGGCTCCTCTAAGACTTCCTTGCAGGGTTCCATTAAGGGGTCTATATGGCTACTACGTGAGTTGAGGGTTTCCGGGTCTATAGGAGTTAAGCAGGGGCTGTGTCTTTTTGCGGTTTTTGTGGTGATTGTGTCTTTTTGCGGTTTTTGTGGGGATTTTACAGGGTTCTTCCGTGGAAATCAGTTTTCTGGGTTTTGCGTAAGAAGGCTTTTCACACAGGGCTCAATGGGTCTGTTAGTGTTTTCTGGGCTTTGTTTAATGATTTTTGTTTATCAGGGGTTCAATAGGTCTTCTTGTGTGTTCAGGGTTTTGTTTAATCAGGTTTCGTTGTTGTAATAAGGGGTTCAACAGGTGTTTTTGTGTTTTCTGGGTTTGTTTACTCAGGTCTTTAAGCGGGGTCTCAAGGTAGTTTAGAGGGTTTAGGGGTTGAGGCCAAAGGGGCACCTACGCTGCCAGCAATTGCTGAAGGGATCATGGCATCGTTTTCAATTCTTGTGGAAACCCTAAACCCTAAACCCTAAACCCTAAACCCTAATGGAACAGTTGAAGAACCTGGAAGAACCCTTGCAGAAGCCTCCCAGAGCCTTCTCACGTCCCTGCAAAACCCTGGACAACCCTATAATCCATAGAACCCCAACCTCCGAACCCTGAACCCGAATCCAAAATCCCCAGACCCTAAACCTTAAACCCTGAACTCTAAACCCTGAACTCTAAACCCTAAACCCTGAAACCCTAAACCCTAAACCCTAAACCCTAAACCCTGAAACCCTAGACCCTAAACCCTAAAGGTGAAGCTGGGTGGAGCCTGCTACGGCCCGGAGCAGACGTTGAGGGCGCTTCGGCTTGGCGCGGTGCACACCTTGCTGGTGGCCTCGTCTGTGGAAGGTCGGCAGGGATTTGGGGCTTATCAGGGATTGGGGGTTCAGTGTTTAGGGTTTAGGATTTGGGGTTTAGGGTGAGGGTTAGGGTTTAGGGGTTCAGGGTGAGGGCTTAGGGTTTAGAGGCCTCGGCTCGTTATGGGTTCCGACGACCACGACTACTGATGCTGCTGACAAGAGCTCTTCGAAACATGTTCATGATTTTGTGCAAAGTTGAAGCCATCCCCGAATCACTAAACGGTCTCAACGGAAACTGGTCACAGGGGCAGAAGCGGATGACAAGGAACCCCAAGCCCTAAACCCTAAACTCTCAA